TAAAACACAGAAAGACAAAATAATATCTAATATTAGGTATGCCAATAAAACCACTTATTATAAAATATGCAGGTCGCACAAAGGTGATGTTGTTCTCAGCAGCTGAGTTAATCAATGCCATGTAAAGAGCTTCTGTTAATTTTCTATAATTCTCTGTACTCGTTTGTGTAGGCTGCCTCTAATTTGTGAAGGCTAGCTACAAATAGAAGCAGAGCAACTTTGTGCTCTGATACTTATAGCAGTACTCTTTTCCCTTGTGTCAGTTGTAAGCAGGCCAGTTTACTCCGCCTCCATTACAGACAATTAGACATCGAAGTAGTAATATTTTAGTTTTGTAAAAAAATTTGTGAAAAATGATTGTCGCTACATTACCGTTCAGTTTGAGGCTTACATCAGAAAATTATATGTTTATTGTTCTCACATGGTATTGGACAGGATTATTTTAACAAACAAAGGACATTTTGCCTGATAATTATTTTTATCCTCTTGTAACTTTACTGTATAAAGAGCTATAACCTCCAAAGTTTCAGAAGTAGTTTATATATAAAAAGATCAGTATTGTTGAACTGCAAAATATCTTGGGTGCAGTTATATTTTTGCACACAAGTATAACAGAATAGCTTTAGTGTTTATTAAAATGTTACTACGAACTTATACAAAATGTAGCAAGACATTAAACAAACAGTTTTATTGATTATGAATTAGACAATATCGGATTCATATCGGTATCGGCAGATGTCCAAATGTATCTTTCGGACATACAAAAGTGGTATCGTGGCATCTCTAGACCTCACCCCTAGTGTAAGTCGTGCCCTTCCCCTCCAGACCAGGGATGTGATTATTAAAGATTATGAAAGGCCTGACAGGGCAGCATGGTGGCTAGCACTGTTTCCGCACAGCAAGAAGGTCCTGAGTTCAATTCCACCATCAGGCTGTGGTCTTTCTGGAGTTTGCATGTTCTCCCCGTGTTTGCGTGGGTTCTGTCTGGTTTCGTCCCACAGTTCAAAGACATGCAGTCAGTGCCATGTGAATTTAGAACTACTCGTATGCTCAAACATAGTGGTTAGTAATGGGTCAAGCTGTGGTTAGCACAGATGACCAATAACAGAACACAACTCTGGTTCAGATTGACCATGATGTTCCTCCCAAGCACTCATGCAACCCACCCAGCAACTCCAATAAGACTGGGTACTCTGAACTGTTTTTGGTGTACAGACACAAATGTCATTGAGAAGCCATTCTGACCTCAAGGTGCAGGGAAGCAACCCTCTCATCAGCTGGAGAAAACCCCAGGATACTGGCATTACAGTAGTCCCTCGCTATAGAGACGTGACTTTCGCGCATTGCATTGTGGGTACAAGTGGCAGCAAAATCAAAACACTGCATCAAGCACTAGCATTTCCAGCACCGGTAATCATTAATTCTGTGGTTTTAATCCCTACTTGCATTTTATTTGCCCCAAAAACAGTTATGCACAAAACGACGGACAACACGGCAGGTCCGTACAAAGACAGACTTGACGAAAAGGGAAAAAAAAAAAGTATTAGGAAAAACAATCAAAGGAGTGAAAGGGTCAGACCCATACGAGCATACAGAGTGGAGTAAGGACGTTAGCATGCTGCCCAACTTTCATCACGCACATATTTATTATTATATGGTCCTAAGTGCGAGTGCATACACTCACAAAATGTTTAGTAACTTCAAACCCCTGCAACAAGCCCAGGTCCACTTTACTTTGGTGATTTGGACTATTCCATTTCACAGCTGTTGTTACATTTTTTTCCTTTATCTCCTGTACAGGCCAACGCAATCTATTTATCGTTTCAGGTTGTTGTATTACACAACATTTTCAGATCTAATAGAAATAAAATTAGTGTTTTGTAATTCATTCAATGTATTGTCTTTAATTATAACTGGCATTATTGTTTCATTCTATTATAGAATCTTACAAAAAAAGATGCAAAGTTGTATTCCATTATGCTTTATTAGCTGCTTCGGTGAAAAACAAATCAACAATGCAAAAATAAAAAATAACCATTGCAAAACAACATACTGGAATTCTTTGTGTTCCTTTTTATCGCTGTGTGACTATTTTCTTGTAAAAGCCTGCGTGCGCTCGTACCGCTTGCCACTCGTACCTACAATCCTTTGCGGTTTTACCCCGGAAATGACGTCTCATTTTCAATCTTTATAACTCAGTTCACCCTTCGCGGCCTCGCTGTTTCGTTGATTTTTTTTGTGCATGCTTTTTTTTTTTACAGTGCATTGTGTTCTGCGTCCTGATCGGCTGCAGACCATTGTCAATCTCATGCCATGTCTCCTGTACAGTACAGAATGCATTCAGCTTGTCAACTTTACATAAATGTTTGATCACTCGCAGTGTGACTCTGAAGTGCTGTACAGTATGTCTGTAAGTTTTCTCCCCAACAAACACCAATGTCGATGAAACGTTTTGCACCATCAAAGGCAACCGCGGGTGCCTTTGGATTCATTTTATAATCCATCCATCCATTCGCTTCCACTTATCCCTTTCAGGGAGCCTATCCCAGCTATCACAGGGCGAGAGGCGGGGTACACCCTGGACAGGTCACCAGCCTGGGCCAACACACAGGGACAACCATTCGCACACATTCACTGCACATTCACACCTAGTGGCAATTTGGATTATCCAATTAACCTATCCCCACAAGCTGCATGTCTTTGGACGGTGGGAGGAAGCCGGAGTACCCGGAGAGAACCCACGCAAACACGGGGAGAACATGCAAACTCCACACAGAAAGACCCCGGCCTGATGGTGGAATTGAACTCAGGACCTTCTTGCTGTGCGGCAACAGTGCTAACCACCGTGCCACCGTGCAGTATTTTATAATACTGGACTTATCTGTCTATGAAGGTTTAAACTTTGAGAGTGTTTAAACAGGAGAGAAAAGTGTGAAAATGTTCATGCCTGTCTGAGAAAAGTGTATACATACATATCACCCAGTGTATACTATTCAATATCACCCAGCTTGAGGGGTCCAGATCCTCACTCAAACCTGGCAGCTCTACATCCACCTTCAAGACTGAGGACGTGGTGAGAGCCCTCAGGAGGACCAGGAAGAGGACCTTGACAACATCAGCAGTCGAGTTCTGAGGCACTGTGCAGGGCAACTAGGAAGTGTGTTCCAGACTAGGGTTGCCACAAATGATTATTTTGATAGTCGACTAGTCAACGATTATTTTTGCGATTAGTCGACTAATCAGATCATGCATCCACTGGACGTACAGCGTACAGCTTATTGCACCAGCATGCATCTGCTCTTATATAACAATCATTATCTTACAGCTTGAAGTGTTTAAGGTATGTTCTAACTAAAAATAAAGACAAGATGATAGTTTATTAAATTTTAATAGAAATTTGCAGATTGTTTTGGTGAAGTTTAATAAACTCAGCCGTCTGCTCCTTGCTATCTAAAATATAACAGGACACCGGAGTATATTCTCGAGCATCTCACACTTCTGATAATCAGTTGTCTGCTTGAGGTTTATTCAGCTATGTAAAAACTATAACTTTAATCTCAGCCAAACCGGTTTACTCAGAAACAAATAAAGTACTGAGAAAAGCCAAACAATAAAATTTTTAAGTTATCTAAGCGACTTATATATCATGTTTAACCTGAGTAGCGAAAGATGGCGGGGGGTTTGAAAACGATTTCCCGGGAGGCGGATGCTCTCACCGGCTCTAGTGAGCCTTGAACCCCGGCTAGCTATCAAGCTAGTGGGTAACAGATGTCTCTGAAAACGTCGGGGGGCTTTTAGAAATATGTGGTGTCTTGATAAACTGAGCAGATATTTGAGGTTTACACATCTACATTCTCGCCTGAAAATATGTTAAACGTTTATTTTGTGATCCAGAAAGAATGATGAAAGAGTAATATTAAGACTAGCTGCCGCTATTGTTGGAAACTGAGCAGGGCTGCGCTATGAATTCTGGGACACAGCTTTGTCTTCTTCTTCGGGGTTTATCGGCAGCTGGTATCCTTGTACATGCAGTGCTGCCATCTTCTGTTTCAGTCCGTTATTACACACTTAAATCCTACTACTTATTCGTGTGTCTTTTGGGATCTTACAAAGCTTCAAATGACGCGGCGACTATTAAATCAGTCGTCGACGATTTTGATAGTCGACATAATCGTGACTAAGTCCACCAGCTGTGGAAACACTCCACAGTCATTCCCATCCCCAAAAGAAACAACCCAAAGTCTCTGATGGATCTTCATCCTGTGGCCCTCACGTCACAGGTGATGTAGGCCATGGAGAAGATCATAAAACAGCGCATCATAAGAGCAACTGACCCCCTGATGGACCCACTCCAGTTTGCTTACTGTGCACACAGAGGTGTGGATGATGCAAAAATCTTCATCTTGAACTCCATCCACAAACATCTGGAACTCCTTGACTCCTCCGCCAGATTTCTGTTTGCTGATTTCTCATCAGCGTTCAACAGTCTGGAGCCTCATATCCTGGCCACTAAACTTTCCTCCCGATTTCATCTGGATGATCTGCTAACCCTGTGGATATTGGACTTTTTGACAAGCAGGACTCAGAAAGTTCGGGTCAACAACTTTCTTTCCCGTTAACAACGTCCACTGGCTCCCCCCAGGGCTGTGTGCTCTCCCCTCTGCTCTACGTCCTCTACACCGTTGACTGCAGATCCACACAGCCCAACTGTCACCTGGT